GAAGCATAGAAGGTGTGCGATACCTCTTATCTGAGGGTTTGGCTGATGTCAATACCAGAGGGAAGAACGGGAGGACGCCAGTCATGGTTGCCGCCTGTGACGGGAACAGATCATTGTGCCAGCTTTTGGTGAGGAAAGGAGCTGATCTGCTACACGTGGATGATGACGGCAACAACGTGCTTCACGCTGCCTGCCTTGGGGGTGACTTCGAAATGGTCAGATATGTTCTGAAAATCGCCATTGTTGACATCAACAGCAGTGGAATGAACGGCAGAACTCCAGTAATGTTGGCGGCACGAAAAGGATTTAAGAACATATTTGACCTACTCGTCAACACAGGATGTGATCTGACACAAGTCAGCGATGATGGGGACAATATTCTTCACCATGCCTGTTTGGGAGGCTATTTGGACATTGTGAGGTATATCCTACATGAACACATTGTGGACATCAACAGTCGGGGGGAAGTATGGCAGAACGCCAGTGATGAAGGCAGCATGGGGTGGCCATAAGAGGGTATTAAATCTCCTTGTAGGCAAAGGTGGTGATATATCCCTCTTGGATAATGAAAGCGACAACATTATCCATGTTGCCTGTATAAGAGGCAACGGACCCATGGTGAAGAACATTCTCTCAAAACACATCGTTGGCATCAACAGCCGAGGACGAAAGGGGAGGACGCCACTGATGGTGGCTGCACAATATGGCAAAAAAGGAACTCTTTAACCTTCTTCTATGTGAAGGCGCCAATATGTTTCATACAGACGATGATGGGAACAACATTCTGCACGTGTCCTGCATCGGAGGCCACCTGCACATGGTGGTGTACGTCCTCTCGGGGTTTATATTTGACATCAACAGCAGAGGCAAGTCTGGACGTACACCAGCAATGCTGGCTGCAGAGGAAGGACATAGAAATGTGTTTAACTTGATTGTCAGTAGAAACTGTAATCTGAATCTTGGCGATTCGTGTGGTAACAATTTCATACATATTGCCTGTCTTGGGGGCAGCACGGAGATGGTGAATTATCTCCTCTGTGGCAACACTGATGCCATCGAGAGCAGAGGCAGAGATGGGCGCACTCCGATCATGTCCGCTGCAGAAAATGGTCACACGGGAGTGGTCAAGCTGCTGTTGAGTAAAGGATGCGATGTAACGAGCCTTGACGACTATGGTGATAGCATCCTCCACATTGCGTGTAGTGGTGGGCGGGTGGACATGGTGACGTTCGTCCTCTCACTAGGACACTTTGACATCAACAGTCGAGGGAGGTTTGGCAGGACGCCGGCCTTGGTAGCAGCAGAAAAAGGACATCGACAAGTGCTTGACTTTCTAGTGTGTGAGGGAGGGGATCTGTCACTTAAAGATACTGAAGATGACGACATTCTTCATGTGGCCTGCGTTGGGGGAGATGTAGAAATGGTGAAGCACATACTGCAGATGAACGTTTCCAACATCAACAGCAAAGGAAAGTACGGGAGAACACCCGTGATGCTGGCAGCAGAGTTTGGCCATATAGAACTGTTCTATTTCCTTGTGTGTAGAGGAGGCGACCTGATGATGGTTGATGACAATGGAGACAGCATCCTGCACGTTGCTTGTGGAGGAAGTGTGAAGATGGTCAAGTGTCTCCTCTCAATCGATATCATTCACATCAACAGTAGAGGTTGCTATGGTAACACCCCCATCATGACAGCAGCCAGCAGAGGACACAGGGCAGTGTTTGAGCTGCTAGTAAAGAACCAGGCAGATCTGTCCCTCGTGAATGAAGACGGGAACAACGTCCTGCACGTAGCATGTATTCACGGGAGTGCCAGCATAGTCAACTTCATCCTCCTGAAACATGTTGTTGACATTAACGGTAGAGGGAAGTACGGGAGAACTCCGGTGATGTTGGCAGCAGAGTTTGGGAACAGTGACGTGTTTGAACTGCTTGTACAACACGGCGCAGATGTAACCCTGAGAGATGATGACGGGAACAACATCCTACACGTCTCGTGCAGCGGTGATAATGTGAAGATCATAAACGTTGTCTTGGTGAATCGCATGACTCACATCAACAGTAGAGGACACAGTGGGAGGACCTCCCTGATGTGGGCAGCAGAGAGGGGACAGACGGGTGTCTTTGACTTCTTGGTAAGGAAAGGAGCTGATGTCACTCTAGTGGATGATGATGGCGACAACGTCCTCCATGTCGCCAGTGTCGTGGGTGACGCCGATATGGTGAGACACATCATCTCCAAGAACGTGGTGGACATCAACGCCACAAACCAGCATGGGCTAACGGCGGATATGATAGGGAAGCAGAAAGGCCACCACGCAGTGACGAGCGTCTTCAGTACCCTGCCAAGGGATGCAAGTCTAAGGTCCGGAACAAACACAGCAATGCCCTTAGTGACAGTAACCCTGTTGATCGTGCAGACCCACGCTAGCTGCTCCAGCCATGGCTGTTATACTCCTAGGTGGTCGTGTCAAGGTATCATGGGACAAAAAATGTGA